GAATGAAGATCCATATGATTGGAATCGACAAGATTTGTTTTTTAATTTTCAAACTGACAGCTGGAGATAGTTTAATAATAGCAAAAATAGTTCACATACCAACTAGTTGTACGAGTTCGCACACTGCTTGGTTGATAGGCAGTGCGTCGATCTCGTTCCCTTCTAATTGAGTTCCATCTCGCTTTGGACATTCGAACCGACCATTGTTATCGGAACTCATTTTTTGAAGGCAATTCAAACAATAAGTATGCCTACATGGCAGCATACGTGGTTCTTCATAATGTTTCGCACAAATTGGGCATGTAATCACATTTTCAACTAACGTTGTAAAATTAGATGCCATGTCAATCGATTAGCAACAATAGAAATGAATAATTTTGAATCTAGAAAAGGAATATTCTAAACATGTGTTCAATATTACTTACAGGGACATGAGATGTGCCTCTAACTCATTGAAACGGCTCTTCCAGTTAGGTTATCGATGTCGAAGGGATAAGGGGTGTGGGTGTGGGAAGGCTGTGGATAGGCTGTGGGCGCGGGTAGGGTGTGGGCATGGGTGTGAGGTGTGGGGTATGAGTGTGGATGTGGGTTTGGATGTGGGTGTGGGTGTGGGTGTGGGTGCGGGTGCGGTGTGGATTGAGTGTAGGGTGTGTGTGTGGTGTCGGTGACGTGTGGAGTTATGCTTCATCCGTACCCACACCCACAAAAATAAAACCTGTATGATGAAGTCTGAAAAGCTCGCGCGAATAATAGGATTGATAAACGAAGACCATGGTCGGGTGTGGACCAGAACAGAAGCTGACAAATCGGCGAATTTGCCAAAATGCCTGAAACGAAGAAAAAAAAACAAAAAATAAATATTATAAGTGGTAATCAGTGCATACTCTACACCTGGCTTGCTTCCCTAGAAGCTGATAAAGACAAGCCAAGTCTGTAACTTCTGGGCAGGCAATGCGCAGAAAGTGAAATCTTAGGCAAATAAAGTGAATTGAAGAGAACAAAACACTGATTAGATAAAGAAATCGGCGAAGAACATAGATAACGACTGCAGTCTACGAATAAATCTGTAGAAAGAACAGCAAAAGAAGAGAACAAAACGCACGATTGGCAAACGGGCGCAAATGAATAAGTGAGAGTAGTGCCCTGTAAGATGAGCTTTGTCATATCTCGGATCTTGTTTGTGTATTCAGCAATTTTTGGACATATTCTACCCTGTTTCATTTGACCTACTTCGACACAAAAGATGCACGGTATCACACTAGTGAAGCGAGAATACATCCTATTCCACGATGTTGAACATTGCAGAATCAGTTCCATCCAATTCCGGGAACTCGATCAACATTCAATATAACACATCGACTCGTCACTGGCCGAGTTCCATCAAATTCCCAGAATTAAGTTCAGACGGAATTACCCCGAATTCCCAGCAATTCCGTCCGATTTCGTGTAATTCCGTCTCGACTCAATTCCCAGAATTCCGTAGCGGAATTACTTTTTGCCCTCGCCCTCACACATAGTGTTGTGACTGAAGATTATTCTCTCGCATAAGTAAGTAATTCCGGTACGAAATTTCGGGAATTGAGTCGAGAGGGAATGGCACGGAATTGAGCGGAATTCCGTTCAATTCCGGAATTGCTGGGAATTGGGTGGAATTCCTTCGGGTTCCGTAATTACTGGGAATTTGGAGTAACTCCATCTGGACTAATTTTCGGGAAATCCGAGAATTGACGGAACTCGGTCACTGACTAGTAGGTCTGTTGTTAGGAATGACGATCGAGTTCCCGGAATTGGACGGAAACAGTTTCCGGTGCGGAACTGATTCCGCAATGTTCAACATTATGGAATAGGATGACTGCTCAGTGAAGTGAGTTTCTTTTTATAAAGGCAGCTTGAGTGAATGACAATATAGTTTCAAATTTTTCTCTTGTAAAGATCATATCTTAACCATGTGTCAAGATATAGAAAGACTTGTTGCTACCAAACAAATAGAAAAAACATTTCTCTACAAGACTGTCAAACTACATTTTCAAAAACCTTGTCTGATAACATAGCTATGCTAATTTTGCTGAGAGTTCTATCATCTATTTTCATTTGTCCTACTATGGGGTAAATAAGAATAGACTTTTCTGTTACGGCTCTTAAAATAACAGTTCGTATTTCGTCTTTTTTTAACATTATTTTATGTCAGTTTAGTTTATTTTTGGTACTTTTTTAGTGAACGAATTTTGATGTTAGTAACAAAGTTCGATATTAAGTATCATTTGTTTTCGCTTTTGTATTAACTTAATAATATATTCATTGTATTGTCCTTTTTTTAGAGTGAACTGCCGATGAAAATAAAGTATAGATTAATAAAGAGAAACTCAGTAAAATATTTGATGCCAACATCTTAAAATGATCAAAACAAAATCTGATTTTTAGGTTTTTGATCTGAACACCATGTGTTCCATATGAAACGTCAATCAGGTTAATACAAACTAAACCATGACTGATGAAGTGTTGGTAGACACTTACCTAAGTAAAAATGTTGTAGTTGAAAGCAGGCAAGAATAGAATAGCTACTAACAAATGTCTGAGGAATTTTGTCTGTGCAAATAATGGTTGTGTATGGTGTGCCGTGCATCGATTGTTGTAGCAAACATATTCTGTGTGATTGTATGCTTTTCTTTTTCTTTGCTTTTGATTTATGTCAACAGAAAACATTATGAAGCCTACGACTTCGTTTTCAAAGGAAGAGCAGAAATTTCATCGAAAGAGTACACCACACATCAACATTCTCATGTTTCATTTGATTGTATGGCTTTTAAGAAAAAGAAAGACTGAAAAGAAATGTACAGCTCTTTTCAAAACAGGCACTCTTTGATGAAACACAGTACTATGAAGTGGGCAGCAAAAGTTTAAGGCAATTTTCACTTTTGTATTTTGTTGTGAAAAGAAAGAGTATAAGACATAGACTTTGGGTGTTATATGTAGTGAGAGCTAAGGTCTATATAGATCATCAGTTCTTCATTCAATTGATCACTCACTGAGAAATATTTTAATGTAATTTATTTTTCCTAATTGTTAATTTTAATAATTTAATGATATTAATTAATTAATGCAAATTTACTCATAGTTTTTGGTTTTCAAATATGTATATTGTTAGAAAGAGTTTCGAAAACTGAACAAAACTGCATGTTTTGTTTCACACCAACTAGAAGTAATAGAGGTTTTTGAAATACTATGCGTAATTTCATTAATACTCTATTAATAATTAAGCAAATCAATATTTAAACAGAAGTGTCAGAACTTCTGAGAAACGGTACATTTTGTAGGGTAGGGTAAGAGTGTTAGTTTATCTTATCTCAACTAAGATCCACACCGATTTTCCCTTGTTCTTCTTCTTTTTGTGCATCTCATATTATCTGAGTCCAAGGTTCACATTAACTTGCTATTATTATGTTCTTTCTTTCTTTCTTTCTTAGTCACCTCTTATATCAATAGATATACCTTGTTTTCATTTTCTCCAACACAAAGAAAAGGACATATCAATATTACGTACATAAGGAATCTTTATGCTCTTCAATGTCATCAATCAACTTGAATTATCATCTGTTGATGGAGATAATATATAATAAGATAGATCCATCGAATTTTTTCAAAAATTCTATGGATAGAGTTTTTTTCGTGTAGAGAACAAATTTGTTTTGATTTTATTTCTTTGTAGATTTGCAAGATTCATTAACTCTTAACCTCAACCTTATCCGAATATGTTAAGTGTCTTTTCACGCTGGCTTGATCGTTATGTAAACATATCTGAATCAGCTAGTCTTTGTGAGAGCGTATTTGATTCGGATGAAGTCGAAACGAAATTTCTCGATTCAGTTCTAACGTATTTTCTCCACTTTGATGAATCCAACCAGAGGCAAAACAATACATTATTTAATGATGTGGATTATATTACACAATGTACAATCATTGATTTGACATCTCAAAATCATTTTAATCGATCGTCAAAACGATTAGATGCTTATCTATACATTTACTGTCGAATTCAAGAGTACATTCAAATGCTAAATAGAGGTTACGAACCATTACGGCAATTTAGACAAAACTTGTTCGACTTATTAGTATCTAGATTCGAAACAACGCAAGGTGAACAACCAAATCTTCTTATAAAAGACAAAGACCTCCTATTAAAAATTAACATTTCTCAACATCTAGCATCAATCACTAACATTAATGATCTAAACACATTAAACAAATTTTTTGTTATAAGTAAACTATCAATACAAGCTGGTCAGTTTATTAATGATAATCGTTATCGTCTTCAATGGATCGACATATTATCTAAAGTGAAAGAGATTAAATTCTCCTTAGAACAATTTATTCAAGAATATTTGCGTTATGAAAAAGCATTCATAGAATTTCCATTCGATACCTCCGTACTTATTTATCTTATTCAACGAATGCATCCTTCGAAGAAAGAGAAAGAATCACCATTTAGAATTTTTCTTCGATTGAGTAACAATCTAAAACTTAACAGTAGCATGTTCTTTGAACAATTTCAATCAATATTCAGTAATGGTATAAAAATTCAACGATATGAAATGAAAGATATTATTGAATTATTTGCATGGATCAGATTGCAAGATCAACTATTCGATCAATATTTTTCTCACTATTCCTTCACGGTGAACACAGATGATCTCTGGGATATGTTTTTAAAGTTAGGTAAATTTAATATTATCAATAGTGTTAATCAAAAACATGTAATATCAATATTAACTGAAAAAATTCCATTAACTTCTATCGAAACATTTCGTCGATATACGAAATTAGCCAAGACATATTTAATAGAAATCAAACCTGAATTTCGTTCACATTTTATCGAATTATTCGAGAAAATCTTTGATGCTTATATTATCAAGCAGTTCAATTATTCACAATATTCATCTCGAGTCTCTCGAACAGATTGTAAAGATCTTTTACAAGACGGTCTAGAAATGTCCTTAACTAATCATTTAGAAAGACCTTCGTGTCTACTTCTTGTTCGTAAAATCCTCTGTGAAGTTGAAAATTATCAGAAGACCAACGCACAAAAACTCAAAACTGTATTTGGAAACTTAAAAGATTTTGATGAGAAATTATGTCAAAAATATGCTGCGGAGAAAATCATTGATGATGAATGGTTAAAAGATTTTCTTATTACTAATCCTCAAATTTGGTTAAAATTGGATCAAGAAACTTATAGATATTTATATGCAAATCATCAGAATAATCCTTGGACAATCTATATTTGGTCACGAATTGTACATTTAAGTCTTTCAAAAATGCTAAATAATAATTATGTAGATATTCTATCTAAAATTAATGATTGGATGAAAAAAGTAAAATGTGATATTTATAATCCAACAGATATTTTTACAATTACATTAGTTAATAAATTATTTGAACTCGTACTAACGAAATATTCTAGACCAATTATAACGTTATCAAATATTGACATAATTATAAATTTCATCATATGCATGCGTGAAAACACATCTGGAAGAATAGATGTTCAACAAATTAATAATTTTATTAGCAATATCCTAGAAACTGTTTATGAAATTCTTTATTTAAAGAGTAAGTTCATGTCCATATTGCAATTTTCGTAATCGGTTGTTTATTCATATTTTATTTTTAACTTAAATTTTCTGTTGTCTTATTAATCACAGATAACAATAGATTTGTCCTATGTTTCACCTATATGAAATTCTTCGTATTACTTCACTATCACTAAGAGGCGGATACTTGGTGAGAACTGATATCTTTAGGCGATTCTTAATTTAGGATCGAAAACCGGGCTGGCGCAGAATCAGAGATGTCCATCGCGGCTGAAAATCTGCCGCTGCCGCGCCGCGACCTTAGAAAAAAAAAGCTGGCGCATCGCAGCCGCGCCGCGACGGTTTATAAAAAAATGTTGCCGCGGCGCGGTAGCGCCGCGATGACTTATCAAAAAAACGTTGCCGCGCCACTGCCGCGATGAATTATAAAATAAACGTGCCGCAGCGGTTTACAAAAAAGTGTTTCTAATTTCACTGCTGCGACTATATTTGACCAGAGATATTGGTACTAGTCCATCAGATTCATTCAGTCTCGGGGTGTTTCATTTGTAATCCCTGAAATTCTATTAAATTCATGCAATTTTTCAATGTTCCCCAAAAAAATCCAGCCGCTGCCGCCACCGCCATCGCGGCAGCGCTGCGATGGACATCTCTGCGCAGAATTCAATTTTCTACAAAATCGTTTATTTATTTTTTTATTTTCATCACTGAACACAACCTAATATAGTCTTCAACTTACTCTACCGTTAATGAGATCCCTTCGAGCACACTAAGTGTCTTAAAATTGGTTAACAAAAATAGTAGTCAAACAGTGTTACATTTATTTTATTTAGATTTTACCAGAGACAGAATCGATTGTTGAGATACTTGAAAGAATCTTGTTATTAAATTAACTTTTATTTCTAGGTAAATTTTCATTATATCGTGATTTGTTGACTGGTTCAATCATTCGTTGTTTCCTTCCATTAATCGATTTACAGAAGATTTTTAGTTCAGTTGATCCTCAACAATATAGATTTCCATTGATAAATGCAAATATCGATGTTGTTGTTGCTTTACCTAAACCTAAAGATATCGATATTATAAATATCGAATCTAACGAAAAATTCTTTTCTCGATTTATTCAACAAATAAATGAATGGTTTGATTGGTTTGATCAATTTATTGATATATTTCAATATATTATTGATTGGTTAAAAAATCATAATGTTAATCATTCGAATCAATTATTAATTGATTTATTAAATATTCGTTATGATTCGAAAATGACTTTTATTGAGATGAAAATAATTATTGAACGTATTTTAAAAATTTTAGAACCATTCAAAGATCTTCGACGTCTTTGTCATCTATTTAATTGTTTAATTTCATTTCAAATTCTTAATTCAGGAACATTAAATACTCAAGATAATACAATAAAATATCTTAC